GCACCGAGTCATCCGTTTGTCTTCGAGATGCGTGGCATAGTAGCCTTTATATCGTATTCAATCTCATGCAAACGTCTCAACTGGCTTGGGCATAAATCCTGGAGCGAACAAGCGCGGGAGCGAAGCGAAACAATCGACGACGTGGGTGACGGAAGACGCTTGCAGACGCTCGAAGACGCTCGGCAAGGAGTTAGGACCAATGCGACGAGAGCGGCGGGAGCGGCGAACGACGGACACAAAGTCGAGCTCCGCCTCTGGTTTCGCATCCGTCTTGCATCTTCTTTCGGAGTCTGATCTGCGATCCTCCTCTGCTTTGTCCTGCTCGTTCCTTGCCCGTGTCAATTAATGTCCTTCGCGTCCGCAGCTACGTATCTTCGCCTCGTGCTCTTCCGAGCTACCTTAAGATTGATCGATGGTCTGACCCCTTGGGATGAATTGGCCACATTGCGCTGTATTTTTGGTAGCCCTTCTCAGTGGCGCATTGTCTTTGAATGGCACCCACCAGTTTCGAGTTCTGCAAACAAGATTACGAATCTTACAACTTTTCGCCATTGACTTCAGATCTGATGGTAACTTCACGTCGAGTGGAGTACATTAGCTGGAAATTTTTTTGATTAGTAAGAATTGTCTATGGCCAGGAGGATTGGACATTTTTTAGATTTACAGAGATTGATTATCAAAGTCAATGTAAATTGCTAAAAAATAATTATGTTTTCTGTAACTCTAATTTTTAAATTCCACACCCTGGTCGCGCACCTTTAAATTACATACTGACTGCTGCGAATTCGTAATTGGCATCTGTGTAGAGTTTAAGGATTAAATATGAAATTTGAAATTCGTCAAATTTACGGATTTCGTATATCTAGTGTTACGGGTTAGTTTATCGCTTTTGGTACTATGCAGAGTAATTGCTTCCTTTTGAAAAAAATGACTGACAAATTTTCGATAAGACGTAGATGAAAGCTGATTGAGGAGCTTTGACGGAAGATCAGTGGTGTCTATAGATCGCTTTATAGTTTTACGAATAAGCGGAAGCTAATGAGGCAGTTCGGCTGCGTCAGGGGCGGTTATATTTCTCTTTGACGCATCGAGAACTTGTCGGACTGTCCGTCCATCCATCCGTCGGATGGTTTCATGGTCGGAGAATCATTCGAAGGCGGCGCAGGAGACAAACCAGCGAAGAAGAGATTGACGTGGCACGCTGTCCCCATTGACAAGAATGTGACAAGAACCAAACTGACCTTGCTCCTTCTGCTGCTTCCCTCGTAGAGGATGCTACTGCCGCGATACTCAACTACACGCGTCTCGGGTTAAACTTATAATTCGAAATAGTTAATATTTCATAATGCAACTAAATAAAATGAAAAAACATATTGAGTTTGGCATCAAATATTCATCCGCTCAAAATTGCTATAATAAAAAAACATCTTAATCAAACAGATCAACGAAAGATCTTCGTTAAAAAATCAAAGTATAAAAATTCTCACAGACATCTTACAGTTACAATCTCATTGGGAACGTCAAGGTTCGTCCATAAATACCAATAGAATCGCTCGCGCGAGACGTTAAGAGGATTAAAAGAAGCGAACTGTGATTGGTCGCTTGAGAACTCGAGAAAATCATGTCGCAGCTATAATACGCATTGGTGGCCACCCGGTGGCTTGTAGGAGGTGATCGTTTTGCCGGTTTTTCTCGGTTATTAAGAAACCATCAATCTTCCTCGGTGATCGGATCGTCCTAACACCACAGGGTTCTCCCTTCGTTCATCAAAGCGTTCGCATTGCGTTTACTCGTGGACCCCTTGTCGGAAGCATCCAGATTCGACTCCGCCGTTTGATCCAGCCGACGGGCCGCCATCTCGTTCTCCAACCTCCAACCTTTTCCTACCTCTCATTTTTTTTCTTCACTTCACGGCTCTCGTTGATCTGCACTTCAATACAGAGCGGATCAGGTGGGACCGGTTATCCACTCCGGAGGCCGATATGGATCGTAAGCTCAACTGACAGACGGACAACGGAACTGTAACGTCATCATTTTACCGGTATACAGAGTTTTTGTTTCCTCTGTAAACATACTCGTCTACCTTTTGCTGTATGCCCAGTGCGAGACGCACCTTCCTGACATTAATTTCCTGACAGAGGATGCCTCCACAAGGTTGAGCACGAAACGTGCCCCACGTCGCTTCCAGATTGACAACCAAATTTATGATCCTCCCGGAAGCTATAGTTGTGACGCGGGAGGTACGAAACTCGAGACAGGAATCGATCATCCTATAGTGAAGTCCAACTCAGATTTGTGGCTCTCTTTCATTGGTCGTGAACATAGCTACGAGTATTACTGAACGCTGTCTGATCTCGTGTTGGACAAGTTGGCTGTCACTTCGAGTTTTGCTGAATGTCAAACGGACATATTGGTACTCGACTGCCTGTTGCTACTAGATAATATAGGAGATCAAGCATTGGGGTTCGCACGGTGATAGTTGGATGCTCGTAATTTTCAATATATTCCGTGTGATAATGGAATTTTGTTTTGGCTGTGAAATATTTAGAACTCGTGATGCTATGTTAAGCGTCTCGACCAATGAGAATAGGATCGAGTCGATGTTGTGGATTGGTGGCGTTTGCTAATGTGTTTGTGCCAGCTGCCCAATCCTGGTGCCCTCCAAGCGATTACCTTCCTCGTCTGATCGTTCATGCTAATTTCATATAACAACTGCCCTCTCGCCAATGGGCTCGCACCGGTGGGCGCCTCTATTTTTCTCCCGCTCGTAAAATGGAGAGCTCATCCCAGACAGCCGTTCATTGCCTGGATGAAAGTTCAAGTTGTCGTCACATCTAGAAGCGAGGAGTGCTTAAAATTAACTTGCGTCGCCAGATTTACGGGCTGAGAACGCCGCACGAATTTACAGGAAACACGATGGAACTTGGATCTTTCTCAATCTACGAAATTTTATGTTTTTTTCACGTCATCCTCGTGTGGTCAACGCATATTATGATCGTTATAAGGTAAAATTTTAATAATACGGCGAAATGGCGTTATTACGAGTTGTGAATAGAATTGGACGGAATTCTCATTGGCATAGATTGTTATAGAGGCAGATAAGATGAAGGTAGAGGAAGCAATAACATTTTGTCTTGCGCGATTTTTTGCCCTCCTAAAAGTTCCATCCGGAGCTCGTCGGCGAGTCGCGGTGCCGGTGGCTTCGCTTCGTCGTGGGTATTAATTCCGAGGATAAAGGAACAAAACGATGAAGAAGACCATCTATGAGATGAGAAAATAATAATAAAGTGGAAATGAGCGAGCCCGTCCATAAATTGCTCCGCTCCTTGTTAATGGTCTGGGGCCCCAGGCGACCTCAGCTAAACGTGGCTCGCTCTGACCCAGCTTGGTTGGGCCAGCTCGGATCTGGTCCGACCCGTTCGAGATGCGCTTGGAAGTCTCATTTCTGTATTTAATGGACGTCCAGCGATGGCCACCGCGAGTCTCTGCTTCTGCAGAAGGGCCGACCATTGAGGAAACAAAGGATAGCATGGAATTGGATTCGCAGTCTAGCTCTTGGGAATCGTCCTTCATATGTACATTATTTTCCTTTTTTCTTTCATTTTTCTGCGTGTAGAATAACTAGAATTCCTTAACCTCTATGCAGTTGGCTGTAACACCTTATGCTCTATGTATGGTAATAACGTTTTATAATATAAGTACTATTTCATACTTGGTTTGACAATCCAGCACGGATGAGATATTTGTCAGGATTAGTGAAGGCAATGTAATCCTGTCCTTACGTACACTCAGCGTCATTAATGTCTGGGTTCCTAAACCTATATTCCTCTCTGTCCCATTCATGTAATTTAAATGGACAAACCCAATCGGTAAATCTAGGCGTTAATAACGTTGAGTGTACAATATAAATTAAGATCAGTTGTTATTTTCCGTGATTCTGTGAAACTTATCTACAATTCCATGGAGATGATGTAAATTTGAACGTTAGATGGCACCACCTTATGGATAGAGTTTACCGCCATCTAAGAAGTCGATTATGAACTACAGTTTCTATGTTGAGAATTATTGGAAGACATAGGTATCACAACGCGATAATTTAACTTCTTCTGATAAAAAGAATTGTGATTTGAAATCATGGACAGTAGTGCGAGTAGCAGTGTCTTTTACAGAAAGTTTTGTAAAAGATCTTATGATAGCTGATTCCTTCTGTATCGGCAAAGAACATTACCTACTGCACGTAATATCTTCTGAAAGAAAATACTCCCAAGGTGGAGATTCAAACGTACAGACTGTGGGTAAAGGTAATATTTTGTTTTTGGATTATCTCGTATAATATTAATAAATCTTCAACACACTATACAAAACATTTGTTAAGTAAAGTCAACAAAGGCAATTGGTAAGTTGCTTTTGTAGAACACCTAGCAAATACGTTTATTGCGTTTTTATAACTTTTACGTAGCTGCTATGTAACAATAGAAATTGTGTAGCTAAGATGTAGCTGTTACAAGATACGTTCGCTCAGCGATACAGTAAGATCATTCGCTACAGTTTGTTGCAAATAGTGACTGTAAGATTATAATGAATGATTAGCAATCCATATACAGGGTTATTCACTACAACCGCGCCAGCTGAAATTGCAGAAAATTGAACGATTCTGTTAATTGAGGCAGTGTGACCTTGTTAAACAAATGAAAGATTCTCAACATCATGATGTTAATAATTTATGACGTTAACTTTCATTTCTTTAATGGTGTCACAGTCTGATTGATGAAATCACCATTTGTGATCAACTGCAGCTAGTACATTTGCCACGAAAAACCCTGAATAAGTAATATAATTATATTATCATTTTCTATCAAAATATTAATTTGGTTATCTATATTTTGAAAAATGCTCTTTGGATTAATAAAAAGATCAACTTATTGGTTCATAATCGGTTAAAGCATATCTCATTTTAGCAGACTTTAACACGGAATATGGATGTAGAGATATCAATACAGTTTGTAATAAAAAATCTTATATTTCTTAATTAAATTCGCGTAGCATATTTCGTGACAATACTTCTGAAAAATTGGAAAACACATTGACTTGCTTCTTTACATTTATCAAATGAATACAAAAATTCTTTTTCTGTAAAGCGGCCAGTGGTTTGACAAGATACAAGATCTTTCTTACTACTGTCAAAGATGAAAGTAAATGTTGCTTTCGCCTCCTGCAATAGAAATTACTTTTAAGCCCACAACATTTAAATTGCCTGATATTAAATGTTTCTTACGTACCTGTATCTGTGTTGTATCTGGATCAAGTATTAGTTTTTGCGAGTCCTTTTCAATCATACAATTTACAGCTCCTATCATAAATTTCATTGACAGACCAGAGTTAATAAGAGCTAAACATGCAGCATTTACAGTGCATGCCAGTAACTGAAAGTAGATTCTGTCTTAGACATATTATATAATCAAATAAATAAATAAACAAAATAGATTGTCTTAAATACAGGACATACCCCGCCAGAATCTTGTAATTCCTGAACATTAATGCAAATGGCAGTACCAGGATGCAAAGTTGCAATCAATGCAGCTTCACAAGTCTCTTTAATAATCTGTTCTCTCATCCTATCATCGACACCTTAAAAAATAAAATAAGTATCAAACAACCTTCTAGATAAGTAGCATACAATGCACATGTCATTGACATTGTTGTGAAAAGTATATTATGATTGCTTAAATGCCTTATAATAATAACAATATAACAGATTTTTTCAAACTCCAAGAAAAATGATATCTCTTACATAATTCAAGAACTACAATATTATTATATCAAAATACTGTTATAGATACAATACTCACACGGTGGTCCTTTAATGGGGGTATATACTACTTCAATACTAGCTTTATCGTACATCATTTTTTGTACTCTTGCTTCCACGGGTCCATAAATTCCAGCTACTACAGCAGTATCACCTGTGTGTATAAAAAATTAATATGTTAACTAACATACGATAAATAAAATAACAGAAAGAATCTTCTTCAAATGTATAACATAAACCTTGCATAAACATTGCCGAGCCGTCCGGCATTGTAAGATGATTAAGTTCACACTTCATAGGTCTTAAAATGCCCTCATCTTCTACAATTTCTGTGCCTTCCATTCTTGTAACTTCACGTTTAGAATTCCATCAAAAGAGATAACTTTAAAGAAAGGTTAGAAATACAAATCGAATAAGCGTAAACACGTGAATAAAACTGTGTAACTACGACCAATTCACATAAAAGCAGCTACTGCAGCGCCCCGTGACGAACTTTATAGAAACTAACATATTACTTACCCAACACGAATGTCGAGAATATTATCATTCTATGGGCGCCGACAACAATTGTACACAGAGTGATTAGATCAAAATGACCCGCAGAAATAAATACAAATTACATAGTATGAGAAATATCTTGTCATAGAAAGTCATTAAACATTAGTTTTTACATCGAGAAACAACTCATCTGCATCATCAATTTCAACTGTTTTGTCAATCATCTTCATCATCCTCATCATCCTCATCGTCTTCCTCTTCAGATTCTTCTTCCTCTTCCCCTATAAAGAAAGGTATGCAAATAAATGCTCCAATATATTTAAATAATGGCCTAGCATTAGCCAATCGTACCTATGGACGAAACTTTAGGAATTGGCAGATGAGCAATACGATATGCCTCTTCCTCTTCAAAAGTAGGATCCGCAATTTCCATGACTTCAGGGCCAATTTTGTACTGATCTTCTACAAGAGGCATCATAGGCGGACTATAATTGTAAGCAGTACATTTGTGACCCCAACCGATGTATACATTAGCGAATTTTCTGCAAGAACGATTATTCGTAATTACTTGAAGCAGAGTAACATTTGTAATCAGGCTTTCGCCTTATTTTTATTTTGTACTACGCAGGACGGTAGCACTTCACTCTCTAATAATGAAAACCAGTTTCATTTTACTTTATTCTCTACCTATCCAGTATCCTGAACATAGAACAACGTACTTGCCGGTAGCGAAGGTATAGGCGCCTGGCCAAATATTTGATCGCACAATTGCAACTGCAATGTCCGGTTGAATTCGGGACGATTGCCTTACTGTCCACGGTGGAATACTTTCCAAGAATGCGTCTTCTGATAGTGGAGTAAGCAAAGGGGGTCCTTGTTCCTTGTCTGGAATCAGCTTATCTTGATCTTCTTCCTCTATTTCTTCCTCTTCCTCTTCCTCAAGTGCTTCCTAAATTAAATAATAGGCAGCATTAAACCAATCAAAAGTCATTCTATAGTCTTTTTCTTATTTACCTCATCTGCAATTTCCGTTTTCTCTGGATTCCACCAAATCGTACGTCCTTGTTTAAGAATATATTGTGAATGATGACACCAATTGGTCATAGATGGATCTATTAGATCTTTTATTGGTAGTGGATCATAATGTGAATTCACCGATATTTTAGCACCTGTAAATTTATTTAAAAAGTATATTAACAAAAAGGTATAACTAAAGCACCGTTCCGTTACTCCTTGATTATTTCTCTGTATAATAAACTTCTAGAGCAAAGGATACAACAGGTTCTTATTAAATTTCGTAACGACTTGAAAATTGAACAACTGATTAAACCGTGCAGGACTGACGGGTCAAAGGAGGTAACTATAATTTACCCAGTTCCTCCTCTTGCTCCTCCCCCATCAATTCCTCTTCTTCGTCCTCGCCACCGCCAAACGTGAAGTAACCAATTGGCGAAACAAGCGTTGCGGCTCCGATACGCGCGATCTGAGCGCGCAGATAATTCTTCTCAGTTCCGGGAAAAGGCGGAAACGTGAATATCTGTCGTAATCGGATGTTCTATAACGATTGGACAAACATGCCACACAGCTTGCTGATATTTTAATGAAATACCGGAGTCTCCAGATTTCCCGTACAATAGCGGACGATCTGTCGAGATACAACTATCTGTTGTGGCGTAGCAGATGGCAATTCGACCCATTCATCTAACCCTGGAGAATTGCAGACCAAGTAAACCTGCATATAGTATTTTGAATAACGTGATAAATTCCAGATAGTAAAACTATAGACTGAAAATATGTTCGTCCTATATCTCAAATATATGTAGTATGATCGAGTAACATTCAAATATATTCCGAGTATATATTTGCAATGATCTGACATCTGCTATTTTTACATATTCAAAATATACTGCGAAAATCAAGTAACATGTTTTCAAGATATTCGTAGAATTTACTTCTATATTCTAATTTTCTAAAGAGATAATAATATTTTATTATTGAATTTCAAGCGCACAATCTATTAAATGTACGATAAAGTGGTAATACTGACAAATAACAAACCCGAGATGTTTTTCGCCAATTTGTATGAAACTTGGTAAACAAGTAGAGTGTCTCGAGACATGAACATTCGCACAATACTAGTTGTCCATATTAGGTACTACGAGATGAAATACTTTTTATAGGTACAATATAACTTACGATCAGCGCCGAAAATATACGCAATAAAAAAATATTTCAGTAAACAGTTGCATAGTTTACAACGTAATTTTAGATAACGCAAGAAAACAAATTTATTACATTTTTTATTGATGTAAATTACCTTTACCATCTTTATTTTTTAAAAATCGACAATACTTGGAGGTCATAAAATGTATAGATTCACATATTTCAATCCGAGCGTGTATGATAAAGTCCCATATGATATTATTTTTCTCAGTTCGTAGCGGAACGTCCATTAAATTATGTTAGATATATGAATCATGTTTTTAAAATATATACTGAAACCAATATTAAGTCTCAATATATGTAAATACGTAAAGAAAAACGTTATCATAAAATATACTCATAACACAGAATATTTTAGCACATAAATAATGTGACGAAAATTGCAGCTTATCTTGAGTTTAAAAATAAATAGTAAAAAATAGAGATTGAGAATAAGAAAAAAACGGTGAAACATATTTCTTGTACTTCACGCATTTTCGGCACTAATCAGTCTGATATGAAAGTCATATTATACCCATAAAAAGTTATTTCACCCCATGAAAGAATAATATGGGCAATTAATATTATATGAATGATTACCTGAACAAGTTACTCCTGTTTAGGATAATATTACCTTCTTATTGATACCAGTGCCGATTTGTTCTGCTGGCACTTCCGGTGGCTGTTTCCATAAAGATTTGGGCATTTCCGGTAATTTCAAAATCAGACCCTGATTCTCGAAATTTTGCTCCTCGACGGGGTCAGCTGTTAAACTTACATCTGTGGTGTTCACCTTCATAGGATCTTTTTCCAATTCTTCCAAACTTTCATCTGCTGCAATATCATCTATTACTTTGGACTCTGCAGCATCTTTCTCCAACTTCAATTGTTCTAAAGTCTCAAGTTCCTATAAACGTTATTTGATTAGTCATAATAATTGTTGTCTTAATCGATTTCAGAATTTATTTTCCATTTCATATATTTACCTCCAACCTACGACCGAGCTCTTCCCCTTGAAGTTCAGCTTCGACAACATAATAATTTTTGGGATTGCCAAGAATTTTACCCCAAAATCTGAAATTCGCATAATACCTTGTACCCTCAACGAAAATAAGATTTAGATGTTTCCTTTATCAATATTAATAAATAAATTTACCTAACATTCTCAATTGGTTTAGTATCCATGAGCTTTCGAATGCTTAAATTTAAAAGTACCAATTCAGAACGTGGAAGACCTACGTCCACTTGTTCGAAATAAAACAAAAACTCCATCATATTAGGTCTCTTCGACTCTTCCTTATTATCGTCATCCAATTCGATTTCTTCCATCCTCTCCTCTTCCGATATCGGAATCTTTACCAAGAAATCATAAATTATTCGTATCCAAGAGTTCCAATGATTCTACCCACGCAGTACTTATCACACATGCATGCGTCATTTTTCCCAATCACCCACATGTTTTCTCATTGATAACATACAATAGACATTATTAACACGTTCACTGCCACCGTGGCGCCTGGGTAATATTTTTTAGCATCGCGAATAATGCTCATGGCAACAAACTCATTGACAACCTCGTCATCGGTGTAACATTAACATTACACTTTTCCATAACAAAAGTGTACAATAATGTTAAACCAATGGCGAAAGTGTTAATGATTATTATTAAAATTAATAAATCAATCACCGTCTTAAACAATTCTATCAATTTTTTGGCTTCCTCATATTGAACTGGTGGTACGTAAAAATCACGTAGAATATCTGTTGTACTTTTATATCGCTCTTCTTTCAGCTTCCTACTATACTCCTCAAAAATATCCACAGCATTATTAGGACGTTCGTTAAGTATCTTATTCAAGATTTCTGTGAGATGATCGTATCTAAAATAATGAATAACGTCTCGATATGAAATGTTGAAAAATTATCTTACGCGGCGCGTGTAAGCTTCTTCGTAGTCACGTGTCCCATATGGAACTTATAAGAGAATAGAAATAGGAGTAGCAAGAGGAAGTAGTTTGTCATCGAATGTCATTGTCAAATAATGTCAGCATACTTACAGACTGTCTCCTGACTCCGGACTGTGTTTCTGAAGAAACATTTTTGCTTGACGTACATCATACTCCACACTGGGTAGATCCGCAGGTGGAACTTCGTCGATGTCATAAGTAAATTCCATTGTTATTTATTTAAAAAATTACGATTAATCCACTAAGATAGAAATCAATACTTCTTTAGGAAATATATTACAAAATCAAATAAATTAGTATCGTTGATATAATGCTTATCCGTGACATTAGAGCAACCGTGGAAATAATAAACGAACCACAAAAAAGTTTCACGTGTTTTTCGTATTCTTAAATATCGGCAGCATATTCAGTCGACAGTCCCATTCAAAGTAGGACACCTGAAGTTGCTGTGATGCGGGAGAAAAATCTTACGTTTTTGCTTCGTGTCATAGCGAATTGTTAATTGATCGAAAATTATGACAACTGCAATACGTATGACGCGATGAAAAAAAATAAAAAAATAAATTTTTTAATAATATTTGTGATTTCATGATATGGGCAATAATCTTTTCACTATATATATGAATCTTATATTATATATGACTTATATATATACTCATAATCATTTCACTCCTAATACGTGCACTCCTAATACCACTAAACTATGAAACAAAATATTTGCATATCACGATACCACAAATTACGGTTTTCCTACTTTGCATGGGACATTAAGAAGTAATATAATATTAATAAACGGAATAAATCCCATATCTATCATGTGTTATGGTGAATCTCATTTATTTATAACACGTGAATATATCTCATGACCCAATTACCACAAAGAGCTAGTATAAGTATGGTCTTAATTACAAAGTTAAAATTAACGTACGATAATGATAAGGCCTTTCCCCACAGTGCTTCCGGTGAAGTAGACCATCCATTCGATTGGCAATTTTTGTTAATACAATTATGAGCCACAGCAATAAATTCATTGGCTTTTATTTATTTTTGTAAAATTATACTGTTAAGAATAAATGACAAGTATCTCATTAGCGAGTATCATCTGATGTTTGTACGTCGCTTGAAACATCATGTCATGAATTACAATTCCGTATGAGCAATATCTGAATGGAGTCGAGTCGCACGCGCCTGTCTCTATCAGCTCGCATCCTGGAGCACGGATATCATCTATCGGGTGTCCCAAATAAGAATAGTGCTTCGAGGTCACTTGCCGTTTCCTTTAACGCCCACCCCCGTACTATGCAAAATACGTGCTTACCACATGATTCGATATACTCTGCTATATGTTTCTGAAATACATCGTCGCTCTTACTGGAAATGAGTATCGATGAATAAAAACCGAACAAAGGAAATTAGATAACAACCATACGAGAAACCGATACGAGTAATAACTTTGCTCTCCGCAGGGTAGAAATCTAAGTACAGATACGGTGTAGCGTTGAAGTTTTAGTTAGAGAGACGAAACTACCAGGAATTAAAAATTGGCAGACACGTGCACACGCAATTCTATCAAGATTCATTATGCCTGATATGCCTCAAGGCTATTTCTAGTAATCCGAGGATTTCTCGTTTACACAAAATGAATTAAACCCCAGGGAATATGTTTCGTGGTGCACGTGCACTCCTAATACCAGGCAACCCCAGTTTGCAGTCTTGCGGGTTGTATTGCCTGCGCCGTGGATTAGAAGCGTATCCGTTACAGCCCAGGCAACACGTAATGTCCAAGAAATGTCCTTAAAACGTCTAAAGGGACAGAAGTAGTCTTTTTAGACATCTTAAGGATCAATTGAGGATTTATGGGAAATTTGAACCATCGATGAAGAACTAATTTAGTATATACACTAAATATGTAATATCAGACATTGGCTCGGCAATGTAATTTAACTATGTACACTCGTTATGAATAATATATATAGTATAAGGATCATATTTGATTAACGTACGTTGAAATTTTCTGAATATCAGTTCTGATATCGAATGCCAATAATGTAACGATGCAAAAAGGTATTAATGTATTTGAGGGATGATACAAGCAAATTTCAATATAGGATTAGCCAAAGCACGGAAATCAATGCGGAATCGAAACGCCCGCGTCATTTGAACGTGCGTTTGGCGAAAACTGCGTTAGCACACCGCGCCTGTAATTAGCAAAATGATATGGTAATTAATAGTGAGAACAATTGTGGTCAGTGCTATATCAAACGGCGGGATCACGGGGCGTGGTATATCCAGTTTGATAGAATCGAATAGAGGCACACATCGTACATGCGAATTTCAGGTTATGTTATACGTCGAGTGTTACTGACATTAATTAATTGCAATTGCATTAACGTACAATCGTCAATCCCACAAGAAGGTCGCTAATTAATACTGTGATAGTAGCTTCGCTCAAATTCTTCGATGTCTGCTATTTATCATTCGTCAATATATTTCTCCAATATATAATATATAAATCTATACCTACGATACGCGAGCACGCTTCAGAATGTTTCGTGTTAAAGTGGTTACCAAGATAGAGAATTGATACTTGAATCCTCGTAACAGAAAAGTGATATAGGTGGTTGTATATGGTTTGCGTGGGCGTAGGGCTATGAATGAGTAAGAAATCCCCACCAGAGGTCTCCTCTTTCTCTCTCCTGTCTCTCTTCTACTTTCCTCTCCACTCTTCCCGGTCCGTCGGGGGTCGCTTCTCTTCCCATGCTCCCTGCATCTTTCGGTTAGTTTCTCGTGAGTTGCCGCGCGCGTTTCGACCGCTTCATGGTCGCTTACACAGTCGCTTCTCACAGTTTTGAGAATTCATCATAGTCTCAGGAGGGATACGGCCAATTTCAAGGGATATTCCACGAGGCGGACAGACCTCTATTCAAGATGCACCATCGATTTACCAGGTCCGTCAAATCATCCACTAATAAATCTTGACGTATCGGTATCTATCCTGTATAGTTTCCTATTATGTTTTATACAGTAACCAATGGACGTGGACATTTTTGTCTATAGACATTAGAAAAGATAACGTCAAAATCGCAATTTTTTTTCAACGTTGTAAAAAAGTTTTTTAATTAGTTTTCGTATTTTGTCTGATTACCTGCATTTGAAAAGTGAAGAATCGATTTTTTTCTTACTTATGATCTTTATGCGTTACTGGCTCTGACTTAATTACCTGCTACTTTCTTAGACTTCTTGTACACAGTTTCGCCATGAGTCTATGCTTTTTTTTATATAAATAGTCCCATTCATGTGTACCGTTAAGTTCCTACTATGAATAGACACATACTGTCGTTTCGTGTGTATACTCGTATTGCATTTCTTTAAAAGGAATACATACTTGATACGTAATACATTACCATAAGTAGAAGCTCCCGCTTTTCATTAAGACATTAGATACGTATTTAGTGAATGAATGTATCCATAGGAGGAATCGCTGAAGAATTTTTTCACTTAATTCCAAGTTTTATTTTTCTTCTTATTTGCCATCCTTCGAAGCTCCGAAGTAAATTTAGGAACTTTCGACGAGTTCAGGCTTTCAGGCACACTACGAGATCCGCCAGAATAAATCTGGATTGTTCACAAATTTCCCTGAATAGTTGAGTAGGGTGAAATGAAAGATGAAAAAGTGATCGTTAGGGTTTGCAAGCGCGATTCCTGCGGGCTACGTACGGTGGACAAACTTTGCCATTGAAGGTGTAAGAAAAGTAATCAGCACGGCGTTAGTAGCAGGAGGCCGCAGGCTCGTGGTCTCTGACCGGGCGCAGCAGCCTCCTGGATTCAGAGAATCAGAGTTCCGTTCAGTCAGTGTCCGACTCCCGTCGGTGACGGTGCTGAGTTGCGCCTCTGGTTATCTTCAGTATCAAAGGTTACGATTTCGGCACCGGGAGCTCATCCATTGGGAATCATGTCTGTCAGGAACACGTGGTCAGTTGACAGTTTCATTCATCAATTACATTTATTTCGCATGATTATTCTAGAGTTGCTAATACAGGCGTGACTGTATTATAGGAATAAAATATAAGAAAAATGATTCTGGTTAGCGTTGAAGACAAATTAATATTTATGGTTGGAAATTTTCGCGCGAAACGAAATCCGGCTTAATCTTTAGAATTGAACGCGTAGAACACATACTATAGAGTCGAATACTGGGAGCATGTTGCACATGGGTACACAGAATACGCCTTAACGTCAAGTCACTGGCTCCGTGTGGACTTTTTGGGATTCGAAACGGAAAGTTGGCGAGCATGTGTTCTTCCGCCCGGGTCATCTGTCAAAATAGGGCTGTGTCCGAGAAATCATCCTATAGTAGTACGCGTACTACGGAGCAGCAATATTTGCCTGAGTGGCTCAATGAGATTTTGACGAATTTCAAAATTCGTGTTTTCTACCGAGAAATTATATTTCGAATTTATTTCTGTGTGATAATTTTTTAATTCCTTGTAGAGCTTGGATACGACTATTACTCAAGGGAAGTCATTTTTGAAAAATCCAAATTTACCATTGTTACTTACACACATCGATAAATTGGTTACAGAGGAAAAAATTCTATCCAATTTTTGTATGATGAAAATACAGCTGTACGTTGTTTTACATTAACCACTGATCTGCTTACTGTATTACGATAGTTATTTCTTCGATTTACTGTTATAACTGTACACCACCTGTGGAGGATAAAGGGTTATTGTTAAAAGCTTTCTCGTACCACCCTGCAACCTATGAGGTTGGCAGGACAATGGTTTATGTTAATTCCCTAGACCTCTATGTAGATGTCATATTTTTGCTAGTACCTATACCAGAGTGTACAACATAAATTTCAAACTTAAAATTCACACGAAGTCACAGTGTCGAATTTAAAATTCCAATTATTATATATGTTTATCCATCGATAATATTAACTCATCAAACAAGGTCCAATTCTCAGAACAAACCGCGTCTAACAATCGTTATTCCACAAGGAGCATTTATCATTGAAATCAAATATGGTACAAAACGAAATCGTTATTCCACTCAGCAATTTCCTTGTTCTTTTTGCATCACGAATTTATTCGTGGCGAGACGATAAAATTATTTCGTTTCGAAGATATTACAGCCCGCAACGAAACGTGTCAGACTGCGATTTTATGTACAGCCAACTGTACTAACGAAACAAAGTTTTCCTCAATGGCATCTACATGCCCAAGTATCCCTAAAGACATGGTACTTTCATCTGTCATCTAACTATACCTCTTCTAAGTCTTTCTATTTTTTCCCCAACATCCTTAAACCGTACGAAAGGAAAAAGATTCTCAGTCCAACCCTAGTAAACTCAAAGTCAATGGTACGTATACGTACTTCCGGTACGGAATTGGTCGGGTGAAGTATTTTTGTCGCAATCGTGAATTCCGTACGCGACTCGTACAACGTCGGTTCCCGATTGCATTTCCTCTAATTGCTGCAGCCTAATTTCATTCTAGATTCAAATACGACACGCATAGTACAATATGTAGTTATAAACCGTACGATAGCACGTGTTTTATAACAATGGGCAATATATCAATTTTAAATATTTTTACACCCTGTACATTTGATTGTCTATTACGCGATGTTGGTACTGTTTTTTTCTCGTTTTCTTTCACAAAATCCCAACACAAAAATTTAACCTAGGACAGATAGAATAGTTAAGGGATATACAGAAACGGTTAAGTAGAAATTGTAGCCATGAGTATTGTCAATATAGAGTGATGGGAGCAAGAATTTATGTAGGTACATAGTTCTATGTAGGCATATACCTGTGTATCGTGTAGTACATACTGTAGGTACAGTACGAAGAGCATGGAGAGGGCTCGCAAGGTACTACTGTATTTCGTAGGTTATTTTAGCTCCTGGGGGAGCTCTGTTATTTCTGTTCCATAAGTTAATACCCCGACTATACTATCCGGTCTCGTATATATCTAGCTGAACGTCCTTCCACTTTTCCAGGTTAGTCTCAAATGTTGAAATTGTTTCAGACTTGGCGAGGTGAATAGATACTTAACTATACGATTTCGGTAGGAATCACGATTTACAAGGAGGAGAGCGGCCCACTCGGTTAGAGCGAGGAACGCTGCGGCGTCTTCGAGTTCTCTACAGTCTATTTGTGTTGAAAAGTTTAAATGGATTCTGAATTTAATATCTATTTGATCGCACCGAGAACAGGCGAGACGACTTTAGTATAGTATGTTACAATTCAAATGAAATTTGGACTTCTTCATTCAAAATCATTTTTTAAGTCTATTATACGAATTATCAAGGGTATGTGTATATATATGTATTTTTGGTTTTGCTATGTACAAAATTTTGGCCCGACCTACGCGATCGTAAAATGTGCTAAACGCCGTTCACTTTTGTGTTCCCGGGTTATCGATTAAGCAGCAGAGCTTTAGATTAGCATGCATCAGGTTAGTAGACTGAGGGAAATTGTTTGCTATCTGATCTTTGATGTTACCGACAAACGCTTTGCACGTCTGCCGTAGTTAATTATTCGTATCTTGCCAATCGGAATATAGATATAGACACATGTAGACTTGTACCCGCGATGATACTATAGGTATTCTTATTGAAGGATTAAAGAGAATTAGCGGCTTAGATGGTCATTTTGAAGGGAAGCTGGATTAAAATCAGTTTCAGTTTCGAAGGAATTTAATGAAAATTTGAAATCGATCAACAAAACACTCGTCCAGTACGTAGGTAGTCTTATATGGTCATTTCCACATAACGGCACTACGCGTGGGTATTCGCCGAAGAAAGGACAACTTGCAGGATGTGGTGACCATTTCTTAAAAGTGTCCTGTACGACCGCCTTGAGAATTTGCTAAAAGGACCCAGCGGCAAATTTGAATACATAACTCGCACGTGATTCGCAACCGGCATTGCTCGTTACAAACTCACAGGCGGTAAATAAATAAAAAAAAAATAAAGTAAAAGTAGTCGCAACGTACCTGCTATTCTTCTTGGTCTTTTCAAAGCATCGAAATGTCGTGCAAAATGGCAAGGGGGGTCTACTTGGCAATTGGAACTAAAAAATACAGCCACTTTCAATGATACCTGAATATCATACTAAACGACTATACGCGTAAGATCCCTCGCTATTAAAAGGTATGACCTATGGCTTGTAGTTTCGGTACGGAGCACTTGGTATTAATTGTCCCTGAATCATCATGGGGCATCATGGCTTATAGCGTTAGATACTGGACGTGATAGAATCTGTGCACGAGTCACCCGAAATAATTGCATCATCAAAGTCACTGCACACTGCCTCCTGCCAATGTAGGAAACCTGTTTAGGCGCTACTGATAACTATATATGTATACATATACATACGGGACGATGATCCTTCTGTCTCTTCTGCCTGGTACGATAATTACACGCAGGACCTATCGACGATTTTTGAATTGCAAATTCGTCCTGCTTCTCCCGCGGAATTCAATCACTCAGCAATGGCTCGAAGTATTCGGAAAGTTATGATATTCTGATCTTCGTTGCGGCTTAGAATAGAATGACAGAGACTATCGGTTCGCTGACGGAACAGAGTGTCGAGTACGGGGGATTGATATGAATTTATTGGTATCTCCATTCATTGGAATAGCAATGCTGATTACTGACGTATACTAAATTCAATATGCCTTAATGATATCATCATTTTTAAAGCATATAGATTTCTATTAGGAATAATATCTAATCGCTGTGAGATTATCGCAATGTTAAAAAATCGACAAAAAATATAATTTACAAAATATTCCTTTTTATAATTGAATAAATTCATTGTAAGTTCATTTTTCATGAATATATGAACATTCACTTTGATACACCACAGTAATCGGACTTACTGCTAATTAATACGTTCCTCGAAATTTTTTCCCAACGAAACCTCAAAGTAATTGGT